TTATGTATGAATTTTTGTGAAACTTTATATCAAAATATGAAACTATACTCTCAGTCTCAAAAAAGAAAAAAATTTATATTAAATTTTTAATACAAATCTCAAAATTCAATATAGACTATTTTTTTATGGCAAGTAGTGTATATCTTAAACTTAATACACCTTCACCAGATGAATGGAAGATAAGCCCATCTAAAAGTTAAAGATGGGGTGGAAAGATTTATTCCAATGAGTTATGTTAAATTTTATCTAACAAAGTTAGTAAATTTTTTTTATAAATATATGTTATTTGAACTAAGTATGATGTAATATGGATATCACTGGAAAATACATACATATATATACATATATATAGAGCAAATTGGACTTATTTATCTACGTTCACAAGGCCCAAGGTTCGAGAGCTTTAATGTTGGGGACAGCTTATGACCAACTTCATTCCATACTTACTAAAGGTCTACAGGGAAAAAAAATTGATGTAAGTATGGCTGTGGAGGCTAGATGAAAAGCTGTCTGCACTGCCCCAACAATAGAAAAAACTTCAGGAGAGAGTACGTTTGTATATACCATGGGAGCTGGTAAAGAAGAAAAAGTGACCAAACACTTGTGGAAGGAGGATATCCCCAGGTGGTTCAAGTATTACAAGATGGCCAAACATATTGGAGTCTATGAGTGTGAGTTGTGAATTAACACTGTGCTAATGAGGGAGAATCTCACGACTTCGATGGTGGAACTTTAGTGTCAGGGACAACTTATGACCAAGCTCAGTCCATACTTACTAAAGGTCTGCTGAAAAAAAAAAATGGATGCAAGTATGGCTGTGGAAGTTGGCAGAAAAGCTGTGCGCACCATCTCAACAGTAGACAAAATTTTAGGAGTGAGTGTGTCTGTATGTTCCATGGGAGTTTGTAAAGAAGAAAATATGACCAAAGACGTATGGAAGGAGAGTATCGCCAAGTGGTTGAAGTACTACAAAATGACCAAACAAAAACAAGCTTAAGGACATTCAATTCTGTGAAAGGTTGTGAAAGATTAGAATCTCACTCCAAGGCAAAGCAAGCACATTGCTGGAAAAACTATTCTAAATGAAGTCATATGAGATGTTTTTCTAGGTTAAATTGGCAATTCTTTCAGAACAAGTGTTGAATAGCTTTAAGTTAAGGTTTTTCTAATAGAAGTTATTCAAAAAAAAAAAAAAATTGTTAAAGTGAGCTATATTCTTAAACAAGGAAGTTTGATGAAGTGAACAAAATGTTTTCGTTTGAAATGTGGAAATCTAGTACGTGGCCACTACATATTTTGTTTTACTTATTCCACTCACTCACAAAATAGAACTTTTACTTTGAGACCAAAAAAAACAAAAGAACCACTCTTCTAATTACTCATCAAACACTAAAATACTTCATTGATTATATATCATATTATCAATACTTGCATTAAATATAACGATGTATCCCCGTACGGTCGTACCTATACCCAAATTCATAATCGTACCCACGTATCCGCATCATTTTATGGTTTGTCAAATCTAATTAAATCTATACCTATATCCGACTCCTGTACTTGAGTCCGTATAACACAACTGATTACAAGTATAGTTGAATATTATTTTATAATAGTGTCCAACATGCTTACAACATGTGATCATTATAGATTGGAACAAACTTTGTCATAATTGTTTGTATATGTTCATTTCTCTTTCCCTCTCATTGATGCTCATCTCTTTCTTCACCTCCATTTCTTTTCATATTCTTTTGGAGTTGGATGTTTTGTCTGTTCAATATGGTTAGTTTTGCTAGAATCTCTAGATTGTTGTTAGTGTTCTACTTGAAAGATATTGTCACACTTGAGTTATTGTTTATCCTCGTATATGACCCGGGTATTCATTTAAGTTATGTCATTGAGAGAGACAAATTTAATGCCTGTTTGGCACCTTCAAACAACAACATTAGTGAGAGCATGGGACATTTTCTCTAATGTCTTTTTAAAAATTTATTTCGGTGAGTTTGTAGAAAAAAAAAATTCAGAGTGAATATCCTCTGGTAAGAAAATTTCACAAATGTTTATTGATTCATTTCTAACTCACTAGGGCTGCCATAAAATGTATAACCTCCGAACCAAAAACAAGTCTAATTTTAGAAATGCAAATCTTAAAATTGGACTTATGAGATTGGTATAACCAAAAATTGATTATTAAATTAATAAAAAGTCGTGAAATTTTATTCAATTTTTCATATTATTTTTTTAATTTTCAAGATTAATCATCTATTTTTATATTTTAATTTTTCAAATTAGAATATTTTTCTGGGGCGGAGTTAGTACAAAATTATGGATTTAATCTAAGTAATAACCCTAAATAATAACCACCATTACATGTTACATAGTTTTCAGCAACTAGTACATGCATTACATTTTTCAATCTATTACACAAAACTTTCAAAATGATTTTATAAAGTATATCACAGCAAGCAATAGGGCGAAAATGACCAGCATGCAACGGTATATCTATTTTCGGAATCAAAGTTACATCTGTAGCATTCAATTGCTTTAGTACCTGGCTATTTTCGAAGAATTCCATCACCGGTCCTATGACATCTTTCCCACCACCTTCCATGCTGCCGTGACAAATCTAGCATCGTAACCATCCGGGGCTGGACTTTTGTTATCATCAATTCCCCATAGTGTTGCTTTCACCTCAGCAACTTGTACTGGTCTGATCAATTGCAGTTGGTGCTCCACAGATAACACATGTCCCTGCTTGAAAGTATCCATTTGAGCAGATGTCCTTTTAGATGACGATCCCAGCTGTTGCTTATAAAAAAGCACAAATGCACATGATTTCATTTTATATATAATCGGAGTGGTTTCTTAAAATCTATTTACATATACACATGGTTCCTTCCGTCATCTTTTACATATCAGAATCACGTAATATGAATTTAGGCATGTCCACGGTTCCGGAACTGGCAGTCTCAGTTCTGGAACCGATGGTTATGAAACCATAACGATGGGAATAGAACCAAACCTTGAGACATCGGTTCCGGTTTTGATTTTAGAACCATTGGTTTTTTATTTTAGTTTGGTTACTGTTTCGATTTATAACAATTTTATAATATTTTTGTACGTTGATTTTGGAATTATATGTTTCGATTCCGACTTAGTTTCAGTTCGGTGGTAATTTATACTAAATTTAGTTTGCTTTTAATTTGTGAAAAGGTTATAAAAATATTTAAGGTTAAATGAATAAAGTATTTTTCTAAATTAACCAAACACGATGTAGGTGGCAAATGGGTGTATCTGTAATTTATTAATATGATAACTAATAATAAATAGACAATAATATTTCTCAAGAAGAATATCCAAGCCAACAAACCATCTCTACGAAAATTATCTAATTGAAACTCAAATGGTTTGTCATACATTATGTTAAAAAAAAAATTTTAAAAAAAAAAACCTAAAAGAAGCTAAATGGCTATATAAAATTTTTTATAGTAAAACTTGGCGATAATCAACGATTATTACGGTTTTGAATTGCCAGTTAAAACCATCAGTTTCTGATTTTTAAATACTAGAACTGTAACCGAACCTTTATAGTGTGGTTCGGTTATAGAGTGGTTCGGTTACGGACCAGAAGTGTAATCGCCAGTTCGGTTTCAATTCCGACATGCCTAAATATGATTCCTCTTTATTATGGTTTAATCCTTATATTCCCGTTTAAAGCTCATTAATTTTGTATCGAGCAATCAACAATGAACCCCCCTCCCCACTTCCCCGACAAAAAGAAAAAATTGTTTTCCATACCCCGTCACTTGGATCGTTAAATTACTAGTTTTAAAACTTTCTTTTCTGTGCCTCGACAATAAACATGGTGATGTGAGAAAAGGTGAAATTTGCATGTAAGAAACTGTTGGAGGCAATTGCAGCACTTAAAGTTGAACACGAGTGTATGTATGTTGTATATGAAGAATGATATTTACCTCTCCTTCGAAATAATTATCTAGATTAGATTTTTTTTTTTTTTTTTGTTTTAAAAGTGAAAGTTTAAGATAAACAATAATTTTATGCGAGAAAAGAGAACTTTTTACTAATTTGACTAAATTTAGCTTCGTGTCGTTAGTTTCTGTAATGCTAGAAAACTTTCTCAATGGACTCAGATTTAGGCAATATCCGGATCCGGACCGCATTTACCCATTTTAGTTAGTTAACGGTTACATAGGTTCTGATATCTGTATATGAAGCAAAGTACATACCTGATATATTCCCAATAAAACTCCTTGTAGTTTTCCATTGGATATTTTGGTTGACTCCTTAATCATATAAATGGATGGTTGTTGTAAATTGAACATTTTATATGACTTTTCAAGTTTTCATATTGATGTGAGACGTTGTGTTGCGTGCCTTATAACGTACTCGATTTGTTTCAAAATTTTCAAAAGAATGCCTAGATTTCATTTTTTTTTCTAGAAAACAAACAATATGATCTTTTTCAAAACAGATGAAACACAACGATTAAACTTTAAAGTAGACTTCATGGGTTTGAAGTCTACATTTAACAATTTTGAGAGCGGTTTGACGTACAAAATGGAAGAAAAATTACACAGAATGTCCATTTCGCATGTTGAATGAAGCCCGATAAGCTAACACTTTGTATACCTTTTAAAGGTTTTAAGTCTATTTTATTCCAGTTGGTGCAATGACATTCAATATAAAGTTTGATGAACTCTATACAAGAGTCTATTCTCCCCAGGAAACAGTCAGCCACAAACGAAATCATGACGACAATGAGAAAGCGCAGTTTGCTAAGTACATGATGCTGAAAAATAAGCGGGGCAGCAAAAATTCAAACCTTGTCTTTTCATTTCATTATCTCATTGAGAGGCTAAGTTCAGGCATCCCCATCTTAAGCTATCAAGTAAAAACCGCTATAATTATACAGAAGATAAGCTGCTAAAGGCACAAAAATGTACATCAAGATTTGACGATGGCGGTGAAAAGTTAATCCTCTAAGAGGCCTCCAGCATCACAACAAGCAAGGCACAAAACTCCAAGAAGAGGACCTGAGGCCCACTTACCCTCTGAAGATCGAGTACATACCTCTCTTCACGAACTTTATAAAGCTGTCAAAATTTTCAAGCAAATCCATGTTATCAACTAAAGAGATGAAAAGAGTTTTATCCATTTTAGCTTTCACTACTGCTTTTTGTAAAGAAAGCAAAGATATTCCTAACACCCAAGGGTGTGTCGTTTCTCATACTTAGGTTAACCTAACAATTGTACTCCAGTTAAATTCCATTAAAAACAAACCAAAACATCAATAGGCATTCACAACCCACATTGTGGAACCTAGTGAACGAAATTTTGCAGAAAGGTAAAATTTGGAGAGTTTTCCTGTTTTATGTGTTTGTTTTCCCCTTTCTATTTTGCTGGGAGGGAGGAAATGTTGACTTATTGCCCTGGGCAAAATACTCAGATGCTTTAACTAGATTTCAATAGATTAACCTCTTTAATGCTTCAAGTCAATTAAGAGGGGGTATTAGTTCAATTCATAAGCAGTTCCAATATCATTTTAGAGCCAAAACATGTGGCCACTATGTGCTACTCCATAATATAGCTGGAGAATGCACGTCACAGATGATTTATCATAGGTCTGAGTAGATAGTTTACCATGGGTCTGTGAACTCCAATAGACACTACAAGAAGCAACAGAATGGAAAATACAACATACCTGCAACTCAAACTTGAGAGCTGTTGGGGGAGTGGCTTCATGAGCAAGATAAAGGTGGTCATTCACATGATTGGTGGTAATGCTATCACTTTCTAGAATATGAAGCCAGAGACACTTCATGTTGTAGTGCCCAATCTTTTTCCATCTCACATTAAGTTCTTGAAGAGTACCGAGAACCTGATTCATCAAAACCCTAGGCTGTGCAGCAGTCTGCAGAGAAGTCAATGCGCAAAATTTTACAAGCTTTCATTGTATATTACCTCCAGAATTACAAGCGAACCGTAATATAGTTATTCTTAAGAAAAGGACTAATATTGTTTCCACAAACCATTACTCAGGTAGCTAGAAACTGAAACAAAGAGATTAAAATATTGACCTGAAGCCCGACAAGCCAATTTCTGTCTCTAGCCAGATGGGGTCTCGAGCCATTATCCTGAGAAAATCCATATGTAACAGATACCTGCAGATCATCTTCTGGATGGAATCCAGGGGAACAAGGCTCCTGGAGATGCATAAAGGAGAAATTCAAAGGACACATCAACCAATTACTAGCAACAGAAATGTTCTTGCAGAATTAGATATAATATCTCTTCCATTACAGAATAAAGGAACAACAGCAAAAAGCATTCTCATTAAGGAATAAGACACAATACATATACTTATGCAGAATATAAGATATGCATTACCATCTATTGAGAAATTAAACATACACAGAAACTTATAGAAGACCTATATTTTGAAATTTCACAGGTATGAAAAACGTTAAAAAAAAAAAAGAATAAAAAAAAATTAAAAAAAAAAGAAGAATGAAGGTTTGACGAAAATTTAATAATTAACTATTTCTCCTCTACCTTATAATTGTTGGGCATAACATATTTACAACTATGATTATATATAATACACAAAGAGAACCGTAGGACTGGCTCAGGTCAACTTCAGATCCAAGATTGACAAGAATCATTCCAAGAGAATCAACAATTTTAAAATTACTTTGAGAGAACACTTTCCAAAAGAACTCAGAACTAACATGCAAAAAGTACTGCCTCACGAACTGTGAAAAAAATATACATCCAAGTTAATTTTTAAAAGAAGCAAAGGAGCAATGTTACGGAATAAATATGACTTTCGCTTTCTCTTGCCAAGGTAAATCTCCAACTCCTAAAAATTCTATTAACAAGAACAAAATGTGTTCACTGTAAGATCAGAACTAATGAATCACTAAACACAGTAAGGATAGACTAATCTCAAAGGAAAAATGAAATCACCGAAAACAGAAAGGTTGATACTTAATATTCACAGTAAACATACCATTGATTCCATAAATTCAGCTCCTAGATAGCCACTTGCAACAAGAGAACGGTTGTCATATAGCAGGTAATAAGCAACAGTAGCCTGACGAAAACAAATAGTAAATTATGCAGGAATATTACGATCAAAGTAGAAACAATAGTTATCAAGGACTTTATCAAAACAAATATATATATATTTATCAAGGATGGCAAAGCTTTACATCATTCTGTATTCTGTTTTGAAGAGACTCAAGTAGCTGGGTCTTGTCAAATCCCATCCTCATAACTTGCTGGATGACTTCTTCATCAAGCTGCAACGAAGCAATATATTAAAGAATCAAAGTCAGGAATACATATAAAGACAACACAACAGTCTAAACAAGGGCTGACAGAAGGAAAGGGAAAAACATTATTTGATTCACCATAATGGTTACAAAAAACAGCACTTAGATCTAATTCAGGAGTGATTGTCATGTGTGAATTACAGATTGAGATCTTAGATGCATCTTAAAGGTTCAACTAAAGTTTCTATCCTTCAAAAGGTTGTGAATATTGATGTAGCATAATTCAGGCAGGATGGAACAAACAAAGAAATGCATTGTCTAAAGAGTTTTAACTCTCTAACCATAAAGTACTATTTGAACTCAGGAAATTTTAATAAAAGAGCGATAACGTGAGGGTGTTCTGTGGATTATAGTGTTGGGAAACTAAATAAGCATGTCGAGGAAAAAAAAAATGTTGAGTACCTAAAAAAAGAGAACACAGAGATGGATTTGACAACAGACTATATATTTGGTGTGGGGGGGGCAGAGAATTTAAATGCAACAGAGAACAGTAACACAGATAGCTTAGATGGCCAGAAGCAATACCATCCATAATCTTATCGAGCTAAAGTTTACAGATATCATTCAAAAGTGTAACTGATCCCACACAGTTTACCTTCTTAAAATCACCACTAACCTCTCATGCCAACACTATGCATAATCTTGTCTAGCTAAAGTTAACGAATATTATTCAAAAGTGAAACTGATCCCACAGAATTTACCTTCTTACAATCACCACTGATCTCTCCTGCCAGGATCATGATACTTGAAAGAAGCAAATACTTTTGACGTATTTAACAGTTTCGATTTACTAATGGTGTCTTGTTATTGTTGAATTTTAAGTAGATTTAACTGCATCCAGAGGATAGAGGAAGAAAAGGAAGATTTCATCTCAGACCTTACAGGAAATCACAAAACAATGCCAGTGATTATTGCACTACACTGCATGTCACTTGAGAATCATCTTCAAATAAGCCTGAGTTTAATAAAGGTTTGCTAAAACTTTAAAACTGACTTTCTGAGAGAAGAAATGGATCCATTTCCAATTGTATTAAAACATCGAAAATTGCATCGAGAAAGAGCAGGGTCCTACCTTTTTCAAATGGTGATTTGCATCAGGCGAAGGAACAGCTAAATAGCGAGGAAGATGAACTTTGAACCAATGATGCTGACGAATCTCAGAAATAGTTATACGTTTCATAGGGTCAACCACCAGCATCCTTGGGATCAAATCCCTAGCTCCAGCAGATAAATGACTTGGAAGAGTATAAATCCCACCCTGAAAAACACAATCATCAACTGAACAGTCAAAAATGTACTTAGAATTTTAGTCAATATGCTCAAAGCCATCAGATAGTCAAAGGTAGTCAAGTAAAAGCACCTTAATTTTCTTGAAGAGGTTTGGAATATTTTCATCATCAAAAGGAAGTGTACCACAGAGAAGAGCGTACAAGATAACACCACAACTCCACACATCTACCTCAGGACCAGAATAAAGCTTACCAGAGACGACCTAAAAATACATAATGAACAGTTAACAACTATATGACCTGGATAATTAAAAAAACCCAACAAATCAGAGTTGCTGCATGAACAGTGGAATCAAAAACCTCAGGAGCAGCATAGTTGGGGCTCCCGCAGCTTGTCTTAAGAAAATGGCCATCTCGCATAACATTGCTCAACCCAAAATCAGCTATCTTTACATTTCCTCTGGCATCAAGAAGTAGATTTTCAGGCTTAAGATCACGATGGACCACCATGTTCTTGTGACAATACTCCACTCCAGAAATAATCTGTTTGCAGTTAAACCACAACCAAAACGATATTTCAGCATTTGTGAATATATAGGTGCAGGGAGAAAAAAAAACACATACAAACACGCTAAATGACTCATAGAGCCTCTATCCATTATACTAACAGTGATTAAAACCCATGCTACCTGCTGAAAGAAATGACGAGCTTCATCCTCCTGTAGCCTACCCTTTTCTACAATATAATCAAAAAGCTCTCCTGCTTTCACATACTCCATGACAACAAATATATCAGCTGGTGTCTCAATAACCTCATACAGCCGTATGATATGTGGATGCACGAATAGTCGGCATATTTTTATTTCCCTTCTCACTACAAGAAATAAAAAATAAAATCGAGTCCAATCAAAAAATCACAAGCCAGATCCAACATTCAAAATAAATGAGCCTAACAAGGGTAAGAAAATAAAATTCCATCCAAATTAAATTCCATTACCCTTTTCCTCCATATCAGGGGTCTTCATTTTACGACGGTTGAGAATTTTCACAGCTACTTTATAACCAGTAAGCAAATGCTCTGCGATCTTGACCTTACCAAACGAACCATGGCCAAGAGTTTTTCCTAGCCTATAGTTCCGCTGAAGTGCATCAACTGCATTACCACCTCTACCATCCATTCTTCTACTCAAAAAATGAAAAAAATTGAGTTTCACAACAAAATGCAGTGCCTTCCAAACATTGCTTACCCTAATAACTAAACTTGCCTAAATATGATCAATCTGGAAAGGTATGACAAGCTCACGTATCAGATATAAACTAGAAACATACTAAGGTCGTGCAAGAATGATAATAAATTTTACCCAAGAACTGAACCAAAATTAAGGAAACCACGTCCCATCTCACTTTGTAAATCGTAGCTCAACTAAAATTGCTATTTAAAGCAATTGGTTATGCGGTCTTTCCGAAAAGATTCCAATATGATCTGACAAATCGTTACTTTATTAAAGACATTTTACACCTTACACATGAACACATAAACATACAGGGACACGGGCATATATGGATATACTTCAATCAATTAATTCAACGACATAAATCTGATTTAAGAAAGAAATCCCAAAAGGGTTTAGTATGATTTTTACCAGCCTTCAATGCAAAGTTAAAAATTAATTGTTTTTCCTACTAAAGAAATATTCCCACAAGGGTCCAGAAAAGGCTTTAAATTACTAAAAATTTGACCCTTTTATACGATGATACCTGAAATCTAACCAAAGCCCTAAATACCCACTAACGATAAGACAAATTTCATAAAGAAAATCACTGAATTCAACAATCCGTTTATTTTCCCAAACGAGCTGTACATCATAAATACGTTAACGAGTCCGAAATGAAACGTGAAATTAAACATAAATAATCACTGATCAGTGGAACAACCGGAAAAATTCATTAATATATACACATAGATAAAAGGGGGAAAAATCGAGCAATTGAGCAAATGAGACGTAAAAGAGGAAATTCAATCATCCCTAATTCAATCCACAAAAAAAGACGAACAATAAAAGGATCAGGGAAGTAATTACCAGAAAGCAGTGGAAAATTTTATGAAGTCGATGAGTTCACTTGGTTGTTGTTCACGAACAAAATTTTTGAGGATTTTTCATGAAAACCTAAGTAGTGCCTGAGATTCTTGTAATCATATTCATGAAACTGAAATTCGATGGGGAGAGAGAGAGAGAGAGTCTATTTTTTGGTATTTTTAAAATAAAAAAGACAAACTTGGATTATTGCAAGACACGTTGGATATGACTCACTCTTACAAAATATTACCCATTAACAAAAGGAAATAGTCCTGTTTTGGGAAATAAAAATCCATATGTTAGAGTTATGATGACTTAAAAATGGTTATAAACAATCTAATGGATAGATACTACTATATTCCTTTATTCAACTTTTTTTTATGTTAATTTTTTCATTTTGAAAGAACCTTATAGTAATGAATTTTAGTATTCTGAATTTGAATGTTTTTATGAGACGGATATAATACTTATATAAAATTTATTAGTTAAAAGATTGTGAAAAGGACTTAATAAAAGTTTAATGAACCTTAAACAAAGAAATATATTATATGTTCATAATACACTTTGTTGAAATAAAACAAAGTGAATTATTAAAATTTACAAAAAGAAAAAAAAGCATAAGTTAAGTATTATGATGGTTTTAGCAATACTAATAAAACATGATCCTGTAAAATAATAACCAACTTAAAGTTAAAGCACCGGCTTTAGTGGATTCCGAAATGACATGATGTCCAAGGTTTCCAATTACAATTCTCAACTTTTCTAACTTTTGAATCATCGTCTAGACCACTTAATCAACCACAAGTTTATTAATTTCTATCATGTTCGTTTAATGTGATTGCATTTTTTTTTAATAGAGAAAAGTGTTATTTTAGTTCAAACGTTTACTCTCGTCGTCGACTTAATCCAAACGTTAGTTCTAATAGGCAATTTCATCCAAGGTATGAGTTTTGTTTTTTGAAATTGCCCCCTATGGCATAAAAAAACATACAAAGGTATTTTATTTTATATTTTTTGTCCGTTGTTTTCTTTCTCTTTTTCTTTTTTCTTTTTTTTGGAATGCACCAAAATGATGTTTCTCAATTTACTTATTTATTGTCATTTAAATATCCTCTTAACAAAAATATATATTTACCTTCATTTTTGTTTGAACTTCAACTTTTATTTTTTAATTTTTTTTATACATGAAAAAATTATAAACAAATAAATTTATGTTACAAATTCACCTTTTCTTTTCTATACATTTTTTTCTTTTATTTTAGAAATATACACATGCATACATAATAGATAACTATATTTTATTGTATAATAATTTCTTTCTAAAGCATTCATTCGCAACGACTCCTATCGCCGAAACTAAATTAATTTTGACGAGTTTAGTATAAATAAATACTAAACCATCAAATCTCATGTATAAAGTGAGTTACATTAATTTGTTAGTTTTGATTGGTGATTGTGGCATTGAAAGTTGTAGAAACACATTTATTGATTTCTCATGATGTCAGTGTTAGCAACGAAGAAAAAACTTATAGACAGTAATATGAATATTGAGAAAATATATGAAAACATATCGAATATATATATATATATATTTCAAATTAATATAAAGGAAAGAAAAGAAATAATTATTAATTATTGAAGTTGCAACCTAGTGTCTTATATATAACATATATATATATATATAAGTGTCTAAAAAAAGATTTGTATATAGTTCTTATGTATTTATAACATACAGGGAAAAAGTAAAATTAAAGTTGATATTTCAAACTAAAAAAAAAAAAAATTATTGTTATTAAGATAATATTTAGATGATAATAAATAAATGAAATTGAGAAATAACATTTGGTAGACACCAAAAAAAAAAAAAAAGGAAAAAAATTAAAATAAATTTTTTGTAATTTTTTATATAAGAAGGGGTAATTTTTAAAAATTTCTATACTATTGGGGCTAATTTCAATTAGTTTTAGGGTTTTTTTTCATCCAAAGGACTAAATCGACGACCAAACTCTTATATTTAGATCAAATCAACAACTAGAATAAACGGTTAGACTAAATCGACGACTAGAACATGTATTTGAACTAAAACGAAATTTTTTCTTTTTTTGAATATATTTATTAGAAATCATTTACGAGGAATTGGATTCTTAAAGGATAGCTCCAATCTTTTTTTTATTATTATTATTATTCTTGTTGTTGGAAAATGAGGATAGAGTCTAGTCACCACTTCCCTTTTGGATTTGGATAATGTTGCTCATGCTACACTAATTTGGACCTCATTAAGGATCTAATACATTTTGAGTGATCGACTAATTTAGATTGCGCTTCATAACAATGAACATAAAAGTTCGCTTCATAAATCGTGCCCAATTCAGATGTAAATAGATCAATCACATATTGAATTTGTTAGCTCATAGTTTAGCACAATTTGCAAAGAATAGAAGAAACTTAAAAACAAAAATATTGAGATTCTATTTTTGGGCAGTTCCAGCATTTTCCTGAAAATTTTTCCATAAAAAAAAATTAAGTACAAAGCTGAAATGGGTCAGGCAAAAATGTAACCCAAATTGGAATGGGCTATCCGTGTTTTAGTATCTTTTAAAATCTACCCAAATATTCATATTCGGGCATACCTCCAGAGATTTTGCAAAGGAAATGAGGGGTTTATTTAGTAGAATAAGAAATACTACTGCTTTTTTCAGGATAACAAAATAAATTATTTTATGGGATGATCACTAATAAAACATGCATATTTCACTGGATAGGTGAAACAACTGTTGGTGGTTTTCCAAATCGTTCAAGTTTCTTACCAAAGCAAAATATTCTGGGAAAAATAAAATAATAAAATAAAGTATTAGTGATTGAACAAGATGATTAGTCATTCTGTCAACACTAGGCACTAATTAATATGGAAAAGAACAAATTATTGTTGATTGTATCTTGGCTCTTGAGCTTCTTTTTTTTTTTGAACTTTTTATTTTTAGATTTAGGGATATTGTTTTCCTTTTGAGTTTTGAATTTGATTCTAATATTCACTTTTTGGTTTTTGGTTCAGATGTTAATTGAATAGCTCGTGCATAACTAAATACTAGGGAGTGAGTGCTGCACGTTGTGCAAGCCCAATGTCAAGTATAACCCAGTAACTAGATGCTTGTCTCGGGCAAATGTCTGGGGCGTCCTCCTACTTAATAAATTAATATGTAAATAATCAAAACTGATTAGGAATGAATTTAGTTTTTTATGAAGATAATTGATTGATCGAAAATTAATTTTTTAGAAAGTCCTAAATAAGTGGAGAAGGAAAGTTCCATTCACTGTCAAATTCAAATTTTGAATGAACATGGTCATCTGATCTCTTCGTTAATATTGCAAATATATTTTTTGTTTTTAAAAGGAGGTGATACGTGGCAGAATGGTTTATGCAATATGGTGCATTTGGAGCCAAAACCTTTTAATAAGAAATTGCCACATCAGCATCCTGTTTTCTGCTTTAATAGGGTAAAAGGGATTTGGGAACATTTTAGTTTTTAGTTCTGTTTTTAAAGTAAGAATTAAATTGACATCCATGAATGTAATTAGTTTTAGCTTTTTGTGAAACCAAAAAGTGACCACTGATGAATAAACCGGTTTGTACCTTGTTAAGGTTTCTTAAAATTCTGGTGAAAGTTTTTATTTGATCAAAAATTGGTACTATGTATTTCTTTTTTAAAAAAAAAAAACTGAAATAGAAAAACATTTATAATCATTCTAAGAAAATGCTACAATAAGCTGGATTTAATTTTGGTGGAATTAGTTAAAAATCTTTCAATTTCAAGTTTCATTGTTTCTCTCTATTCTCCTAAATTTATTTCTTTAGTTTGGTTTAATCACATTGATGAGACAATAACAATCCATATAATATACATTAAATTCATGCACTAAATTAATAAAAGAAACAAAATATTTGGAAAATACACTTTTTTAATTAAACTAATAAATATTGGTACGAATGTAATGTACTTGCATATTAACAATTTATTGGATTTTGATATATTTGCATCCCACATGTTTGAACTCGTTTGCTTCATTTTCATGTACAATTCTTTCATGTACCACTCTTTTCC